CATTGTCCAGCTCGACGATATTTCGCACCAGAGACCCTGATTTCGATCGCACGAAAATAGAGTTCGTCGCCGCGTCACATCGCACGCACGCAATTAATCTCGATTGTATTAGACAAAGCTGTGCGTACCGTTACCAGCCCTAATTAACAATTATTTAGTATCCCGTTGCGCTCGTCGGGATTTCAATCGCACCGGGAGAACTCGGCGAACGCGCGCCCGATCGCCGTCGCTGTTAATGCACGGTTGAATGTTAATGAGAAACGTTAACTGGTTGCTGAACCTAATTAAAGCTTTATTATACTTGCAAATAAATCAGCCGGGATAAATTCGCCCGGCATATTCGCTCGCCCCGACGTTTGCCGCGCGCGCGACACTAATTATTTTAAGTTATTATTATCCGCAGCCGCGTCAATCCACGCGCGCGCGCGCGTTCACGCTCGCAACGTTCGATACTTATCCGGAATTTTGCAAATGTAATTTACCTCGTTCCGTATTCAATATTCCGCCGGCGTGTTTATCGATCAATCGGCCGAGAGAGGGCCGACTGTCTAATTGATTCCGTCGCGGCTCACGGAAAAACGACGCGAAGCGAATAAAACGATGTGAGAGTGTCGTTTCCCGTCGCGTCTGCACATTAAAACCGTAACTGGGAATCGTATTTTCGCCGTACGAAAGCGGCCAGCCGGCTGGTCACCGGTGGTGTTGGCCGCCGATTTATCGTCCAGGAAAATGACTCGTCGCCGGGTACGTCGAAATATGGTCGGTCATTAAATTTAATGAAACGAAAATATGCGACGCGGGATAACCGCGCCTCTCTTCCTTCTCTCTCTCTCTCTCTCTCTCTCTTTCGATGCGATGCAAGAGATTTAGGTATTAAACCGTGGTTTAAGGGATCGACTAAAGCGGCCGTCTCTCTCGCAACTTCGGGATGCTCCGTGCGCGCGGGCGTTACAGTATAAATACACGCGCGCTACAACGGTATTTCCCTTCACCCTTAATCCTCTCTCGATGCTATCGCCGTGTATCATATCGCACCGCCGCATATATTACGGTATATCGCATATATTTTCTTTCTCATATTTGCGGGTACGCGCGTCACTGCGTTATTTCGCTTACCTCTATTGCGTTATTACAGATGAAAATAATTGCGGGAGAATTCCCGGTGCGTCAATACAACCGGCCAAGTTTCATCTTTCCGCAGGCATATTAATATTGATAATATTAATATTTAGCAGCACCAAAACAGGTATGCTTCGGCTCTTGGAGTTTCGAAATATTATATTTCGAAAATATCTGTGTTGAGAATATAATTAATGAACGAGCCGAATGAAAAAAAAAAAACGAACGGGCATCAAGTAGAACCAGTCGGAATAACTGTACGCAGCGGATAAGTGTACGCATTGCCTACAATTCTGTGTGGAAGGGGCGAGGTGTCAGTCTATGAAGTGTTTAGTCGACATCTCGGGGCGAAAAAAGTTAGAATAAAGTACGCCGGAGTGGACGCAGCGCGCGTTTGCAATAGACAAAAATACGAAAATGTGAGGACAAGTAATATTCTTAAAAATTTTGCCGCACTTCGTGAGCTTGCCACACTTTAATTGCTCGACGAAAGAAGGTAATATATTTCTACAAAAGTTACATCGTTCGTCAATGTTTTGCAAAGAAGAAAGTACCGGGTTATTTTATAATTTAGAATTTTCCCCGGGAAAAGATGTACCTGGGGCAAGTGTGCTCGGCGCGAGCCGGAAAAAAGGACGGAGAAGACGAATAGAGAAATAGAGAAAAAGGTTACCATGAGAGAATTAGTCTCTGGAAATCCAGGATCTTCTGATGCTAATTTTAAGAAACGTTCAATAATAAAGAGAAAAGACTGAAGATGAGTATTTTTATTCACTCTGTCACGAAAAATTTGATGAATCAGAAGATTGGATAGAATGTATCAAATGCAAAAAATGGTGACATGTGCAACGCTCAATCTATGAGAGAGATGTTTTTGCATGCGATTTGTACAATATTAAAATTGTAAATACACTTGCCCGACATCCATGTACACACTTACTCCGTGTGCGGCACAAGAGTGCGCACTTTGAATTATGTTCTTTTTTGTTAAATTACAAAAAATTAGACTTTATATTTGTTTTGATTTTTAATTTAACTTAATAAAGAGCTTAATAAATACACTGTTTCAAATACAAGCCTTTTTCATTTGTTTTTAATGGAACATAAAATTCTGAAGAGCGTACACTTATCTCTACTGACTCTAACGGCGAAATCAACACTAACTTTATTCATTCGAAAAAAAAAAAAGGAACAATCGCGTTTCCTCCCCTTCTATGCCTCTCTCTCTCCCTCCCGCTCGCTCTGTCTGTTTGTATCCCTCGCGTGAATATCCATATTTTATAAATCGTTCGCAAGTAAGGTGTAATCGCTGCGAGACGCCGCGTTAATATTTGATGTGAGCTAATTAGCGATTGGACGTGCCGTCAGTGTCACAATTAAACCAAGTTCATCTCCTCGCGGCAACATCGAAAACTAGGAGTTCTCTCGTGCAATTTCAATTAGCATGTTGCGCTTGCTTGCGACATTTATTATCACACTTTCGTTCTTTGCCTGCCCGACGCAGTAAGGGAATTTACGGCTTTTTCAGTTTAAAAGACACAAAACAAATAGTGTATTATTCGAGACAAAGACTTACACTAAAACTACCGACAATTAACGTGTACTTTTCTACCGGAGCAGTTTAAATAAGATTTTTTTGAAAAAAAAAAAAAACGTAATACAAAGAAAAAAATGTTTATTCGTTTACACAATGCGACAAAAATTATGGTTAATCTCAGATAGTACACCATTAGAAATTGGAGTAACTTTTATAAGAAAAAATTACAGACCGGTCATTCGGACCGTTTCGGAAGTTTTAGTGTTAAGGCACAAAACCAATAAGTCAGCTATTCTGCTCTAACGTTAATACTCGGCGGTTTATCCCGCCCGAAATTGTCTCGATGTTATTTCCCTTATCGTCTCAATATAATCTTCGTTTACAGATCGAAATAATACTACACGGATTAAAAGCACAAACAGAAGCACAGAATCCATTTATAGAGAATGCTAGAGTGATATAATTCTCTCTCTCTCTCTCTTTCTCTTTACCTGATTTTAAAGCGACATTAACACTGCAGACGCGCGATAACGAACCGCATATACGGCCGGCTTCTCCCTCGCGTACGTGAGGGTAGTTCATTAAAAACTCCGCTGATTAGACGAAACCCGGAGTGACGCTGAACAAAGAGCGTCGCGGGGAACGCGACATCGCCATTATCGCGGCGGTGTTTATTGCAATTACTAAATGAAATCGGCGCGTCGATGTTAAGCTCGAACGCGCTAAATGCGCCGGCTGCGCGCATTCCGTGCATCGCGGCTGGCAGCTGCGCGTGATAATAATTACGAGACGATACATTGTGATAACGAGTCGGCCGTGCGCTAACGACGCACTCTCGCGTCGCACTCTTTCTCATTTACGCTCCTTCCCGTCCCCTCCGCCTCCTCTTCCTCTCGCCCTCTCGCCCCCCCCCCGTGCCCCTCACGACAATCTAATATGTACTTTTCCGCAAATTTCTTCATTACTCGTTCGGTCCCGCGCGTCGACGCCAGATCTCGGCATCGCTCTTACCTTTTTTCCGCAACCCCTCGCGACCCCGCGCGTTTCTCTGATTCGCGCAAAAATACTCACGCAGGCGGGCTCTGCGCGCGTATATAAACGCTCTCTCCAGTTAGTCGCTGTCTCTCCCTTTCCCCCCTCTTTCTCTTTTCATCTTCCTGTCCCGACGTTCGCGGAATTATTGCCAGCTAGAGCGAAAGCCCCGAGCGTTTTGGAATCATTAAAATGTGAACGCGAGAACGGCGGCGTAGCCGTGGAGGCCATATTGGGCAGCGCGCGGTTTGAGAGCAAATTATCTTGCTTAATTAATGTCGCACGGGCGAATAATTGGAGAGGGAAAGGCAGGATGGCCCGTAGCTCGAGCCATCACGAATCGATTTCTGCCTCTCTCCCTCCCGCGGCCCTTTCTATACCCCCGATACAGGGGGAGGGGTGTTCCTCTGTCCCTTTTCCCTCCGCGATCCCTCGCTCGATCCGTGCTCCTCCGTTTCATTCGTTCGGCCCGTGTAATTTCTGCACACGGGGGGCGTTTGATCCGCGCTTTTGCGGAGACGGGAGACGATTAAAAAGCGCCGTGACGACGATGCGGCTTCGATGTGGGGNGGGGGGGGGGGAGAGGGGCCTCTCTCGAGTCCTCCGGGCGACGCCGATGACGAAGCCCGCCGCGTCCTTTTGTTGACTAAGCAACGGTGCCGATTGAACGGAGGATTATATCGGTTTATCGGGCCGGCGCAGCCGCGCGGTCCGTTGAATAGCCCGTGCTGTGTACTTTATGAGTCGCGCTCGTTTCGCGCCGACCGATTTTCGTCTCACCCCGGCTGTGTCGCGAGCCGGGCGTTTCCGCAACGGACGGAAATACGGAGCGCGCCCACGAATAAGTAATAAAGCCACATTACCGTTCGTTAAGCCCGAGACACATCCCGTGATAAAGTTCGGCTAATTCGCGCCGGCGGCCAAGCAGCCGAGTGGACACCGGCTTATATTTGGCGCGGATTCAGGTCGAACGGTAAGTCTACTCGATACCGACGGGATCGAAGGGAGATTACGAAACGGCCGGGTCATTTCGGTCGGAGGAGCATAATTTGCCGGCATAGAAAATTATACGTCGCAGCGAAGTCTGTCAGTTACTGTGCGAAAGTCAGCATACGAAGCCGTCAAATGTATAAGAAGTTATTACGAGAACGGTATGTTAATGAAAGTGTAAAAGTATAATAAAAGTATAATAAAGTAGTATAATAAAGTATAATAAAGTAAGTATAATAAAATAAAGAATATTAAGTGAAGATCGACCGATATGCGGGAACAACACGAATGAACAAATGAAGAGGAAGAAAGGCTTATTCGATCAAAGTGGAGGCCAAAGTTCCATTTTACCCATCGTCTTTTGTACGCACGTAATTTTGCACGCAGGTCTATCTGTCACCTTCCGGCGATTGCGAGCTGCAAGCGCGTGGAGATAAGTGAACGAACGATGGGACTCACATTGAACGTCGATTTTCGCGGGCGAGCTCTCGATCGCGTAGCCGGTCTCCTCGTGTGTGGCCACGCAGACGAAGTTCCCGCTGTCCAAGATTCGATTGACCCTGGTGATTTCAAGATCGCCCTCGACTTGATGCCTCCGCGGACTGGGAGCGAGCGGCTGTCCGTCTATCTTCCACGAGTATTTCACGTGCGAGGCCGGCTGTGCTTCGCATCTCAAGCGTACTGGAAGTCCCTCGACGACCGAGTGCTCCGCGGGGCTCACTGAGAAGTAGAGATCGCCGTCTTGGCTGCGGGCGGGTGCCACTAGAAAAAGAGAAAAGGAAACGCCGTCTCGTTAACGAACAGCGGCCAATCGGTGAACGTTGCCTGAATACTGACAGTCGGCTAAACGAACCGCCGCTTCGTCTCGCGAAATTGTTGTTATCATTTCGACGGGTATCGATCGCAAAGGAAACATTTATTTAGTTCTATTTGAGCGCGCAGGAGTAATATTAACACGTCAGCCGTCCACGCGTCGCGCAGGTGATTTTTATGCAAAACCAACGTCATATTGTGTGATGGCGATAGTATTTTTTTATTCCATGTCCATCACGGGAAAAAAGTACTGGAATCAAATAAATGTGATTGTGTTTTTCTGCCTGTTAAATAAAGTAATATTTTTATCAGCATAAGTATATTTTAATAGTTTATAGTAAATTACTTGCTTGAACGCAATAACATCTTAATTTATAAGTGAATTAGCGAATGTAAGTATAAAATGGTTCTAAATTTCAATATTTGCTAGAATTATGTAGTACTTTTTTTTTCCATTGAATAAACCTAGTGGTTTTCAATTTCAATTCTTCTGTCCAATAAATATTTTCTAAAAATAAATTCTGATATTCTCTACATCGTGAATTTAATATTTGTCGCAATTGTAACATGTGCAATATATATTTATACGAAGAAAACATAATATTGCGCCCAGTTAATTATATTTCTACACAGTAAAAAATGGAGATTATGTTAAGAAATATAAAACAAAATTTTTTATTGTGCATGTCTAGTAAATATTTGCCAAGAGGTATTGGAGTTTTACTTGGAATAAACATTACTTGAGCGGCAGTACTTTTCCTTCAGTGCATGAACAAGTTAAGACTGTTCGCGCTATTACATCAAAACAAAAAAATAGTGGGACGGTCTGTGATGAATAATTTCCAAATTAACAGTGGTAGCAAACGTGTGGCTAAAACTCTCGCCTTTCCAAAAGCTGATGCCGAACTCGAATCGAGCATCAAGAAATAAACTACCCGAAACACGTCGCGAAACACGATCATTGAATCGCGCAGCGGCGCGCGACTATCAACAACGAGAGAAAGAGAAAGAGGGGGGGGAGGGAAGATTCGCGCGTGTCCAAGTGCGCAAAGTGACTGTAACAAACCACGAACAGGCGGCTGCGATTCGCGATCGAATGGAGCCGCGTCGAGCGTGCGGAGTGGGAAAAACGGTGAAAATCCCGCGCCGCGTTCGAGCCGGCGTTCCCGGTGCTCGGTGGCGATAACGCCGGCCGGCACGAAAGAGGGAAATGGAGAGAAAAGAGGAGGCCGACATAAAATGTACAATATGATACACGCGCGCGGGAGAGATCGTGATTCCCGAGCCCCGACGACGACGACGACGTCGGACGATCGTTGCGCCGCGTTTGCATACAATGGTCGCGCGCACCGGCGTGGATTAAATCCTCCGGGGCGAAAATCGATCGCGCGAGTTCCTCCGCCCCGGGAACACGCGTTGCGCGCGTACTTACGGTAGGCGCGCACACACAGCGTGCAACGCACAGTGCGCGCCTCTACGTAGACGCTGCGCGTTGCCGTACGGCTCATGTAAACGGCCGACTCCCATCGATCTCACATGCTCATGCAACGTCAACGCGGCCGTGGTAAGCGCGCGTCTGGGAATAATTAATCCGTCGCGCGAGCGCGGCCATAAGAAATATTATATCCGCGTTTAACTATAATCCGCCGTGTGCGTCTGCGTGTGTGCGTTCAAATTTCATATTATATTGCTGCAGCGTGTTCGGCGAGCCCCCCTGTGCCGCCCCCCTCCCCCTCCTTGCCCTGCATCGCGCCGACGACTGTGCATTGTTGGAAATAAACGACGGATATCGATCGGCTGTGTCGGTGGAAGGGCGCGAAATTGTTCAAATAACCGCGAGAATCGGCGATATTCGAAATAGCAATTGACATAGTATTTCGGCCGGGGCGATGTATTTGTTTTTTCTTCTCTCTTTTTTTTTTATTACGTTTATTTATCTTTTATTTGCCGCCTCTAGCAAATGAAAAGTAAATAGGCGCGGTGAAGTTTCGCATGACTGGCACGAGTTGCGGCGATTCGCAGGTGTCGCCTATGCGTTATTCAATTGTGGATTCTTAGCCTCGCTCGGCGCGGTGAATAATGTCGAGAAGCGATTTTTTTATCAATGTGATCTGCGAGGCGACCTTTGTCGAAGACCCTTCTAACCCGGAACAACTGGCTGGATCGTAATAAGTTTACGTTTCCTCGTGCAATCGAGACGTGTAAGCAAAAGTGGAGACGCAAACTGTGAAAACTACTTGTAAAAATTAAATTATAATTCAATTCACTCGTATAGCGAAAAGTTAATTAAAAACACGAAGAAACGATTATTCATTTATCAGAAGCTGAACGATCTCAGTTTACGAACGCGGTTTGTTTCACGCCGTTCCACGGCTGTTCCACGCGGAGAAATCGATGAGCGACGAAATCGTCAGATGGGGAACGAAAGGACTGATGAGGCCGCCGACAATGTTGCGCGCTGCTCCTTTGAGTCGAGTGCACCGCCGAGAGGTGTGAGGTTCATGGTGCGAACATATTACAATGTTTACGAGCTACCGCTGGTCGTGCGGCAAAGATCAGCACCCCGCCAAAACACTCCAAACTCTTCGAACGGTCGTATCTCAGCGAAGATTTAGCGTACGAATGTGAAACAAATGCCATTTTTCTCGGCATCTCGCCGTTTCACACCAATCGCGTGCACCCTCGTCATGACACGTGTACATATTATATAACACGTATTGGTATATTATATAACACATGATACACGCGATGTATCATCCTGCACAGATAATATATTTAAATACGGAAATAGAATATCAGAAATTTTCATTATATAAACTATCAAGTTTCACGTGTACTTTAATTATGTATTAATATCATGTGTTAATAATGTATTAATAATTATACCGTGTATTATTAATTATTAGAATAAATCTAATATATCATAATATATTATAATGTGTCACAACTGAATATGTCAACTAAACGGCAAATTATGTAATATCAGACGGAAAAGTATGAAATTTCATATTTGCCCTTTGATTTTATGGTAAATATGAAGCATCGTAACCAGCAACATTGATATTGTGAAAATATGAAAGGTTGTAAATTTTAATATAAAATTCTTAAATTTACTGTCAGAAACGTTGTTACTTTTGAAAACGATTTTAACAGTAAGGCCGATAATAGCCGTGAAGTGTGCAGTAAGCGAATTGACCAACCACAGTGGATTATTCTGAAATTGTAAGGACCCAGCTGGTCAATCAGCTTGCTGCTTACGGCTTGTTGCATACTTTACGCCTATTGTAGACGATCCTCAAGAGAATAGGATCAATATTGCAGATCCAATCGTCGAGAACTATGGGAACAATCCGTGTTTCGCTGATGCACGATTGCGAACAGCCAATCATAGAGAATCGATCCGACCGCCGGTTTGAACACGAGGTATCACTTGATTTTAATCTAATGCTGATTTAATATCAGCGATACCAATATCGAAAATTCGGTACTTATGCTGACGACCCTACAGGGTCTCGATTGCGAGAGATCTTACAGAGAGAGAGAGAGAGAGAGAAAGAGGGACGGAGGGGGGAGAGAGAGAGAGAGAGAGAGAGAAAGCACACGTGCCGAAAAGTATATTTAAGCCACGATAATAATAAACGACGATATATATATTCCAACGATCGCGTAAGTCTATCACGAGCAGTAACTAATATCCCCTCCTGTGTGATCCCGAACGCTGTACAGTTCAACCGTTCAACCGTCGCGCGAACGAATGCGCCGGGAACCATAATGCACGGTCGTAAATCTATCAAAGCGGGGGGGAGGGGGGGAGCTCTTCAGCTCTTTTATTTATCTTCGCTCTGGCCCTGCCAGTCTCCCTATCTATAATTGTGTATCCCAGGTACTTCCTTTGGTCTGACACCGCCGGTCGGCGCGATCCACAATTTTAAACCAACTCCTAACTGGCCGGCGGAAGCACGCGGGGGGGGGGGACGTGCACGCAACGTCCGGCTAACGGGATTTCGCAGGATTTGAATTAAATTACGGCGATCACGCGATCGATACTGATTGATGTTGCGGCTGAATTGATATTGATTAATGTGTCGCAATTAAGGTGTCCTAATTATGCGCGTATCTGCGCGTGCACACTTCCACGACGGGTTCACCGGGTTCACCCGTGCGCGCGCAACGTCAAAGAAAGCATTGATTGCGGAGCGCGTCTCTCGCCGGGAAACCGGCTGGCTGGCTGCCGCGAGTCCGTGAAAAAGTCGGAAGAATTCCTTCCAAAAATATATCGCGGACTTATCACTCGTCGCTTACCAAGACATCGGGAAGACGGGAGAATTTCCGTTATCGCGGCGCGCTTTACGACCAGCACTGTGTGTTTTAAGCGCGATCGTTAAGCGGTATCTGCCCGAACGCGCGCGGCTCAGCGATGTCAATCCGTGCCCCGTGGTTTATCAGCACACGAGAGCAAGACGGGCGAGCGAGAAAGAGAGAGAGAGAGAGAGGGAGCGGCGCGTTGCATCCGAAAAAAGAATGCCCGTTGCGCCAGTCGTCAGTCATGCTAGCCGGTCGTGAAACCTCCCCGAAGGGTAAACACGACCGCTTTTACGACCTACTCTCGAGATTGGCTTCCTTCCCCGAGCTAAACATCTCCTTCTCGTCTCTCTTACTCTCTTTCTCTTCGACGACAGCTGCAACCGCGCCGCTTTATGACGTTTACACAAGCGGCCCGATTTTTCGACTACGCTGCCCCGTTGGTGCGCTCGTCCGTCTCGACGTCTACAGGGTGTCCCCTGTGGAATCGCCGGCAGGTTATAAAGGTTAGGTAACTGGTGCATTGTTGCGCGCGTTCTTGCGTGACGGACCTCGAAAAGGGTGAGGGCGCAAATTCGCTTAAACTCCGGGGATCTCCCACGACCGAGAACTTCGTCGAACGGTCGGTCGGTCGACGATTGACCGGT